TGGCTTTCTGCGGCAGGACTTTGGGGCGCCCCTGTCCCCATCCCCCATCAACACAGAGGACTTTGGTCCTACTGCGAAGACGCCACAGACTTCAAAGCCAGAAGGTCCAGACTCCACAGGCTTCTTGCTGGGGTCACTGGGGTGATTATTAAACTGCTCTGATGCTGGGCTTTTAATCTGTGATGTAGAAAATAGAGATATTTCCGGCTCTGAACTGAATGACAAAGGGCCTGGCACCAATGTGGAGCCCCTCCAGGCTGTGCTCCAGCTGCTCCACGCTCTCCCTTCTCCCAGCCTCGCAAAAGCACCACAAAGTAAGTGTCATTTGGGCTGCACAGAAGAGGAGAGAGCACAGGCTCAGAGAGATCCAGCGACTCCCTCCAAGTGGCACAGCGGCAACTGCAGCTGTGGGATGCGGAATTGGGGGGCCGGCAGTCACACGCTCTCCGCATACCTGCAGCCCTGGGGGCTGCTGCGTCCTTCCCTCCCGGGGCCTCTCGCCATCACAGAATCACATTTTCTCATCCCTTTCAACCTCACGCAGGACTTTTCACGTAGGAGACCCTATGCGTCTTGCGGATGCACAATGGTGGTTGTGACGAAACAACAGTCATTTTGTGATGTTTCGTCTGTATGTGATGCACTAGGAAAGAGCTGCCTTCCTTAAGCAGCGTGGAATAGTTACAAAAGTTGATCGCGCATTGGCCATAGAGTAATCTTAATGTAGACCCCCAAGAGAGAAATGCAGGATTCCTTGCTTTTTATACAATAAAAGGAAACTGTCAATCAGAGACATTTACAAAGTCATATCTACTTGGGAATTAGAAACATTGTTCTAAATAATTAATTGTTCTGAATATGGAATTCAAACAGCAAATTATTTAGAAAACAAAAACATTGAGAAAGTGGCACACTAAACACTTCAGGGATGTTGCCTATGAAATCTATGTTCAAAGAAAGAATGACAAAGCAGAAATTAAGAAAAGTAGAAAGCAATGAAAAGGATAAATCACAGAGGATGCCTTTTATAACAAAATTAGAGACAACCATTTGGAAATATTATTTCAAAGAGAGAAATCAAATAAAATTACATCAAGAGAGATGATCTAAGAATCGACACCAGGGCATTACAGTGATTTAGTATGCTAACGTATTTGACATTTTCAATGAAATAAGTGACTTTCTTGAAAAGATAGACATTAACAAAATTGAATCAAAAGGAAATAGGTTAGATTGTTAATCATGGAAGAAACTGATAAAGGATCCTGAAAGAATTTCTTCCCCAAAAGACTAAAATGTGTTTTATTAATGTGATCTTTTGACATTTTAATTACCAACCAATGGCATATAATCTGTTCCAAAGTGAGAGAAAGATAAAAGGGGACAGAATATGGGCTAAAAATTAAAAACCCTGGACAAAGTCATCTATACATTTAAATATATAAATTCTAAACAAGAAACTAGTAACTCAAATAGAATATTCTATTTGATGACCAAGGAAGATATATCCCAGGAATGTAAAGATGGTTTAACATGTTGGATAACATAGCATATCTAATAATTAATTGACATTGATCATTTAATAAGTGTCAGAAGATTTTTTACATATTGCTGATAATAAAAACAAGATGGCAAATCATTCCTTCCAAGATAAATAATATCCATTTAAATTAATAAAAAGTAACATACTTAACAGTGCAACATAATAGATGTTTCAATAAATCATGAATAAAGATTCCAATAAATCAGGAACGAACAAAGTATTGTTACCATGTCCTGACCAATTCCATAAGACATGAATGTCAATAAAAAGAAAGGAAGGCTATTGCTGTTAGAAAGGAGGGGGCAAAATTTCTCTGTGTTGGTGTTATAAACAATCACTGATTGGAATTGCCTGGTCAAGCAAACAATAACAAAAACTACTAGAAAACAAAGACAATTCCAGATTAACATATATCATCAGTCGCTTTCCTATATTTTGCTAACAACCTGTAAAAAAATGCAATGGGAAAAACCAAAATAGCAATAACAAAACTTACATAAGTAAGCAGTTAATCAGAAAATTACAGTTTCTAATTGTTAGAAATGCAAGAGCAATAAAAAAAAAGTGAGTGATAGACAAGGCAATCTAAATGAAGAGACATGATAGTTTTTCAGCAGAAATAATGGATTATAAGAATCGCAATTGGACTCAAATTCAAGATTCAGGTGAACACAATTCCAATCAAAATTCCAGTGACATTTTTTGTGTTGAAGAATAGAAAACAGTTGCTAAGTTCCCTCAGGAGCATAAATAAGTGAATGTTTCCAACACAGTTTGAGGATGGGGGCCAGAGAGGACAGGGTTAAACTTATAATAAGGTGAAGCCCTGTCACCGATGCGGGGCTCACTAGGTCAGAAATGCACAGGCCAGAGTGGAGGTTCCTGAAGCAGCCACGTGCATGATGGCTTCAGGGGTGGTGAGGAAACCTCAAAAGTCAATACAGGAAAGGTTGCTGGCTGGATGGACAGTTCAGGGAAAAGAGGTAAGAGAGGTGGGAAAAACATAAACTTGAAGCGGCTCTCATTCCTCTTGAAAAATATTTTCCAAATGTTCTAGGTTGAGCACAAAATATTGTTGTCGCATGAAAATTGTGGCCGGCTGGGACACCGATGAGCTCTGAGCCTCCTCTTCCTCCCCTGGCGGGACCCCGCATCCAGCATGCTCTCCCAGGCGTGCGACTGACTCATATATGGCCCCACGGGGTGTCACACCTTCTCATACAGGTTTCTTTAATGTTCCTTTCTTATTCATTTTAGGAGAAAGAGCTAATTCATATGTTTTTTATAAATATCCTTTGGAAGCATAAAATGTCACATAAATGCTCAACCCCCACGATGTTTTACGATGCTTCTCTCAGTAAATTCACGGCACTGACGTTAACTCCTGCACCCCCCTCCCTGCATTCTGGCAAGAGACAGGTCACCTACTTCCTCCAGCCTCAGCATTGCAACGTATTTCTTATATTAAAGCTCCACTTTTCTCTTTAATTTTTAAAAGAAACTCAGGATGTGTGTGAAGCCAGGTGGTGAGAAATATGATTAAAGAGAGAAAATAAAATGCTGGCAGTGAAATGACTGGAGCTCTCCTCACAGGAACATCACAGCCCCCCACAGCCCTGAGTGAGAATTTCCCACTTGATGTTCTCTTCTGGAGCAGACCCCGTGCCCACCCTCCCAGGGCATGGATTTGAAAATACACTTATTGAGTCACACACCCTTCTGGTTACATCTAGGACTATCTGGAAAAATCCAATCTGATGGGACAGGCCGACCAGAGGGACACAGCCTCTTCAAGCTGTTGCCCAAGACTCTTAAAATCGCATCTCTCGTTCTCTTATTGTCTTCTTCAACCCACCAATGAAGGCTCGTTGCTCTTGGGCACAGATGAACCCTCAAAAGCACACACACCCCATTCAGGTGGCGAGAAGTGGATCACAGGCTACAGCCAGCCAACGGATGGGGTTTTTTTTTTGTTTGATTTTTAAAAAGTTGAATGTTTTCAATAAATATCAATCAAGAAACAAGACATAAAAATCCGGATTTCTAACTTCTCTTAAAAATTAGAAAATTTGGGGCCTCCCCGGTGGCGCAGCAGTTGAGCACTGGGTTGCAAAGCTGCCCGAAGCCTCCGCGGCGCTGGTTCGATCCCCGGCTGCTCCCCGCCACCGGAGGAGGGTCCCACATGGCGCGCAGACCTCTCCTGCCGCCCGCTGCTCCCCTCAGCAGTGGACTTCGGTCCTTCTGCCTGCTCTGCTCCCTGCTCTGACTCTAGTGAATTCTCTCACCCTCCCGCGCTTCTGACTGTACCCAGTGCTTGTATCAATAAATAAATAAATAAATCTTTAAAAAATAAAATACATTTCAAAAAAAAAAAAAATCAGAAAATTTGTCCAATGTCTGGCACTTTCTGTTTTGCTGGGCGAGTGAATAAACTTGAACGCTACGGGTCTAGTGTTCATGTCCATCAGCAACACAACCTGCTGGAGGGCCAGGATGCAGAGGAAAATAGGAATAAGAGCAGGGGGCGGCGTGTTCTAAGTGTCTGGGATGAATTGAGTCGCCGTTTGCCAGAGATCCCTGGGAGTCGTGCTGGGGTGGGCTTGGGAACCTGGCATTTCTCACCGTGCCGGCTGCCGAGGAGGTGCGGCCACCTCAGCAAACAGGTACCTCTCAAGCTCCCCTACAGCTTCCAAGTCCCCCCGACATCTCAGGGCCTTTTCTTGAGATAGTCTCATTCTCTGCATCTTCTCTCCAAATGTCACATCCACCTGCCTAAATCCTGCCCACCCTGTGGACTCGGTCTAGAGGCCAGCCCTGCCGAAAAGTCTGGACTCCACCCACCCCACCCCGGTCTGGGCGAGGCGTTCTTTCTCAGAAGGTTGCACAACAGCCGAGTTGTTAGACTGGGATTTAAATGACGTCTTCCTGCCTCCAAAACGGAAGGCCCAAAGCAGAACACTGTAATTACATGTTTTGTAGGCGAGGGACATGCAGTGAGGCGGGGCTGAGCAAAACAGCTCGGAAAAGACACCCGAAATACATTAAACAAGGACAGCAAGTTGCAGAACAATGTGTATGGCATGATTCTGTTTAAAAAAAAAAAAAAAAAAAAGAACCCGTAACATCTGTGCAGGTTTGTGCACGCCAAGGGACAGCCTAAATGGATGCAAATTGAGTTGTTAACACTAACTACTGGGCGGTGGATTTGAACATTCTGTAAAGTTTGCATTTGCTGTGCATGCCCTAAAAAGAGAGAATCAAACCCAATCAGAGGCACTCAACAGTGATTTTTCTATCAGCACACGCAAAAAGACTCGACTGTTCGTGAATTCCAGACACAGGGGCACAGTTTGGGAGGCGGGGCTCACCCCCAGCCACACTTGGTCCCACAAGGGGCGCAGCAATGAGATGGCAACAGGATGGGGGGGAACGCGGTCGGCCAGGGGGCCACACTGACCTTTCCCAGCAGCTCAGGCAGGCCCAGCAGCTGCCCGGCGAACACGCCAATGCAGATGAAGATGGCGGTGACCTGTCCCAGGGAGCCCCGGATTTCCTTGGGTGAGATCTCGCTCAGGTACATGGGGAGCGCGCTGAGGGAGATGCCTGTGGGGAAGCACAGCAGCAGTGAGGGGGCGGCCTTCCCTGGGGAGACCAGGCCCAGCGCCGCCACCCCTTGGCCCTGAGGAACTAGCACCGTAGCCACAGCTACAGCCCAGCACTCTGCACAGTGGCCAACCGTGGCCCCAGAGGAGTGACTGGGAAGCAGATTTCATAGAAGAAATAGCTGATGTTGGTGGAGGTGGTGGTGACGAGGCTGGTGCTGGTGCTGGTGCTGGTGCTGGGGGTGGAGGTGAGCACAGTGGTCATGGCGACGATGAAAACAATAACCAACATGCCAGAAGCAGGATCCTTCCATGACTTGATATGTATGATCTTATTTACATTTCATCATAACCCTTTAAGTGGAAGCATCGTCATCATGCCAAATGAGGACACTGAGGCACAGAGAGCTTGAGTAACTCTCCCAAGTCACCAAGCGACGGCCAGAGATGCCCAGAGACGCTACCCGGTAGATCAGGCCTCTGGCTCTGGAAACTGATTCTTAAGTAGGTGCCAGAACATTGCGCGTGTCCCAAAGCAGGGCACCACCCAGGATGGCCTGGACCCCCCCTGCAGCTGAGCCTCACCTCCATCCACGCCCATGATGAAGCGGCCCAGGATGAGCATCTCGAAGGCACCAGCCTGGAGGGCAAAGGCCATGAGCACTGCGGCCGCCACTGCAAACCCGTTGTTGACCAGCAGAGTGTGCTTCCTGGAAGAAAAGGGGGTGTTCAGGAGGAGGCCCCGCTGTCACTGGCCCGTCTGCCTGAGAAGGCGCTGCGTGCTTTGTGGGTGCAAGAAGCCACCGCGAGAAGGGAACCGAAGAGGCTTTATGCCACTTTCCAGAGTCACCCCTTATCTTCCAGACCAGAGCTCTCTGCACTGCTTCTGCCAACCTGCACCCCCGGGGAGTCTCCCCCTTGCTCCTTCGTCTTGGAGACCCCAAGGGAAGCGACTTGCAGCCCAGAGACTTGGTCCCGAGGCGCCTCGCAGCATCTTCTGGAATAGCCCAGCTCTTCCCGCCCCGAGCCTCATTTTAGCTCTGGCTTGTGGCTCACAGATGCTGTTCTCCCGACTCCCCCGCCATGTCCCAGTCCGGACTGCCCAGCCTCATGGTAACTGTGCGGCCCTACACTCCCTGGGCCTTGGCTTTGCCACCTGCAAAACAGAGATGCTAATGTCCGTCTCGTAAGGCTGCTGGAGCCCCCGAGTGTTTCCGTGAAATTCAGAGGGACCCTGAGTGAGACACTCGCTGCATCCTTGCCATATGCCAGGCGCTGTTCTAAGTGCTCGCTACTCACTGGGTGCGCTGCGAGTCGGGTTGTCTTGCGCCTCCTTTTGTTCTGCTTGTTCCAGATGTTGAGTGCTTGGTTAACACGGGACTCGGGAGAATCAGTCTAGCGAGCACAGTCCTAGGTGCCGGCGGCCCTGGCTGCCGTGCTTACTCAGAGCCATCCTCTCAACATTCATTCATTCAACCAGCATCTGCTCACCCGTGGCGTGCCTGAGAGTGGGCTGGGGACTGAACACCATGCTAGGTTCTGACTTAGTGTCATGGACTTGACAAAATGCTACTTTTAACCTCTCAATAACAACTAATAGAAAACACCTGTAGCATGTTGAATGGTGAGCAATGCTGTCGGGGCAACTAAAGCAGGGAGGGCCTCCGTGAAGAGGTGACATCTGAGCACAGACTTGGAGGAGAGTAGACCAGCCAAATGGATACTGGGGAGCAGCAATCCTGGCAGAGGTACCAAGGCCAGATGCGGGCTAATTCGGGAATGCCAGGGTGGCCAGCATGGCAGGAGGCTGTGGAGGGCCAGAGAGTAAATTGTAGACAGCTGTGGAGGGAGTGGGGGCAGCAGGGTTGCTCATAAAGGGTCTTCATGTTACCATGACAACTTGGGACTCCACCCTGAGCGAGATAGGCAAGCACTGGAAGATTCTAGGGGTGGATGGTCAGGCCTAACATACTGCAAGAAAACCACTCACTCAGCGTGGGCTGTGAGGCTAAGTGTGCAAACAGGAAGACCAAGTGGGAGGCTGCTGAACAGGCAGGCCAGTGTGCACAGTGATCTGGACCTGATGGGTGCAGTGGGGGTGGTGGGAGCGGTCAGTCCTGGTGTGATCTGAAGACAGAGTGGACAGACTTGCTGATGGACTGGACAGAGGCGGGGAGAAAGAGGAGCCAGGAAGCCAGAGTTCTTGCCTCGGCTGGTGGTATAGTTTGTGCTCTGCAGGGGATGTTCTAATCACATTCAAGTCAGACTTGAGACATTTGCCAACAGGGCTGCACACCCTCTAAGCAAGTTCAGCATATTAACACAGTCCTTCCCAAAATAACCCCAGCCACAGTGGCCCTCTGAGGGTGGAAACCTTATTTGCAAATAATTCACAAAGCTGACTCACTGGCTCGAGAGAGTGACTGGGAAGTGATGGGGATTTTAAATCATTGTTTCCATTTTTTTTCCAGGAGATGAACTGGGCACCAAAAATAAGGGGGTGCCATGTTGCTTCTGAGAGCAGGACTCATCGCCCCCTATGGGCCCTACCAGGGGACCGGATTCATTATTTGAGCTTGTCCAGCAATGTAGGCTCTTGCCTGTGCAACCCAGGCCATCAGCTCTTGGAGAAGGAACAGGATACAAGGAGAGTAGAAGGGTAAGGGGGAAATTGGGGACCGGGTCCCTTAAGAAATAGTCAGAGGGACAGGGGACATTTAGCTGGGACAAGAGGAGACAGGGAGAGCGTGAGAGCTGCGTTCCTGTTAACTTGATTGACGGGACCCAGATCCACTGGGGGACACACAGGGAGCATTACGTCAGGGTAGATTCACGACACGCTTTTCACTAAGACAGTGAACTGGGAACCTCTGGAGACACACTCACTCCCCATTCTTGCAACAATTCCTTCGCCGGACCCAGCTCAGGGGGCAAGATCTCACCCTGGTGCGTCCGCCTCACCCCACCCATTCCGGCTCACCCAGGTTGGGTTCCACGGCCACCATTTTAAACACGCACCCTCAACTCCTTCACCCACTAACACCCCCTCCAGGACATGGGCCCAGCAAAGCCCCAGCTGGATAGGTCTTTACGCCCTTGCACATGCGCTGGATCTGACAAGGGACCTCTTCTGGAAACTTCCACCATGGCTCTGGGGATGGGCATGTGATGCGGTCATTTTAAAGTGTGTTAGGATGATGTTTACCAAGGTTTTTCCATCTTGGCACTAATACCATTTGGGTTCAAGAAATTCTGCAGGGTCCGGCCTGCGCACATTCAGCTGCATCCCTGGCTCCACAAGAAGCCAATAGCACCCCCTAGCGGTGACCAGTGGGAACATCCCCAGACACTGGGAGATGCCCAACGTTCTTGGCTTTGCTTCTCCCTGGTCTCTGAGGCACCATTACTTCCCCTTGTCTTTTTGGCATTAAACTCTCTCTCTTCAAATCGGAACTGAACTACTTCGGAGGGATACACACTCCTGTGTTCATTGCAGCACTGTTTACACTAGCTAAGTTATGGAAACCACCTAAGTGCCCAAGGACAGATGAGTGAAGATGTAGTCTAGATACATGATGGAATACTACTCAGCACTGAAAAATGAAATCTTGCCATTCATGATGACATGGCTAGAGCTGGAGGAGGTTATGCCACATGAAGTAAGTCAGAAGGAGAACGACAAATGCAGGATTATTCCACTCATTTGTGGAATATAAAGAAACAAAGCAAAGTAGAAATAAAATGAAACCAAAACAAATCCTAGAAATCTGACTACCAGAGGGCAGTGTGGGCATGGAGAGGAAAGCGGGGGGCCATGGTGAAGGACTCTGGGCGCCTTGGTGGTGGAAGTGGCAATACCTGAGTGGCTGTGAACCCATACCCTTAAATCATATGTAGGATTGTAAATCAATGTTACCTCAATTTAAAAAATTAAAAAAATTTCAGATGAACTGAAGTAGCGCTCTACTCTACTACCTGCCGGGATCTGATTATGATACAAATATACAGTGAACATGTTAAAGGGGATCCCCAAACAGAAGTGACCCCCACTGACCTCCCAAGAACTTTTCCGATCAGCTTCATCATCAACGTGCCCACGAGTCCACCAATGGCGAAGATGGACACTGTCACGGACCAGAGCAGGGTCAGCGTGTCCGCGTCTATGGGATGTCCGTGCCTTTGTGCCCACGATTCATTGTAAAAGTCCTTGATGTACTGTGAACAGACAACAGACGTGTTAGCCCCGCACCTCCTGCCCGGGGAGTCGGCCCCTGCGCGAACAAGACTTCCCTGGGGCACCTCACTGCTCATTCTAACAAATTTTGCAGACAGGGAAGCTGAGGCTCAGAAACACACGCGCCTCGCTCAGTAAGTAGCAAACGTGGGAGTCCAACTTAGACCTGCCCCGAGCCTAGGAGAACCAGAGAGATTTCATCCGAATAATTGCCATTGCCAGCTGCTTCTGGACCGACGAGGCGCTCTGGTCCCTCCTGGGCCCTCGGCCTGTCCCGCAGGACGTGGACTCCTGCGGCGGCTGATGTCTTCGGCACAAGCTGTGTTCGGCATCCGCCTGCCCCGTTTTCCTGGGAAGGCCCGGGCCGCACGGAGGCGCCCAGAGCAGTTGCCAACACGGGTCGGTGGCTGCGTTGAGAGGCGCAGCCTCCTGTCCGCTGGGCTCCTTGCCTCTGGCTCGGGGACTCTCTCCTTTGAGGAGCTGTGACGCCCGAGGCTCTTGCTACAGTAGAGACGGACCTTGTCTCGCTCTTTCTCCAGCTGCTTCGCTGCCCCGGGAGGGTCCAGGGAGAGAAAATGGCGCCTCCCCCCATTCAGCCGGGAAAGGGCTGGGGAACCAAACGAATTCTCTGCCGCAGCCCTGGGCTTAGAGCTGCCTCCCCTCGGGACAGAGGCAGAAACGCCCCCAACTCAGGCATCACCAAAAAGTGAGTCACCAAACCAGTCGCTGGTATTTTTGTGGGTGCTGGTTTTGTTTCAAGTAAGCCCTAATTCATGTGGCCTGGAGGGGGGCGACACCTCAGATCTCCAGAGCAGTTTCAAGCTCATTCTTTCCTTTGCTCATCCACTAGCTCACCGACAACGCTGCCCGGGACTCTGCCTGAGGCTGCGCACTGCACACTGCACGCTGCACGCACACTGCACACTGCACACTGCACACTGCATGCTGCACGCACACTGCACGCTGCACGCTGCATGCACACTGCACGCTGCATGCACACTGCACGCACACTACACACTGCACGCACACTGCACGCTGCACGCTGCACGCACACTGCACCCATGATCCAGAGGCAGCCGCCTTCCTCCCGGGTCCCCAGAAGCAGCCTCTGGACCTAGGCATTTCCTGTGTGATAGGAAGGTCTTTGCTATTCGTGGCGGGTCCCCTGGACCCCATCTGATAACTGAGGTGTGGGGGCCAGGACCAAAGCTGCAGCACACCCTGCAGGCAACCGTCAAGGCAGCAGGGGAGTGTGGCCCCAGGCGCCTCAGAACTCCCATCCCTGCATGGCCACCGGCTTTGCTTGGCCTCCTATTTTGCTCCGCTTCACTCAGGGTGGGGTTTTGCATGTCTCTTGCCCCACAGGCCTGAGGACAAAGGTCCTCCCCACACTTGCTGCTGGACTTCCTGCTGAACTTGCAGGATGAAGCAAGCGTGCAAACTTCCAGCCCTCGTTTAAAGACGGGGTGGACTAATCAGCCTGTCTGATGGAGGCACCGCGACCCAACCAAGGCCCTGGCAGAGCAGGATCCCCCAGAACGAATGCCTCAAACTGACACAGACTCTCAAAATGTAAAAGCATGAACAGTCAACGGCAGTGACAAGTCACAGCCAGGGTGTCTGCACGGGTGTTTCTCTGCACGAGGCCACTCTGTGCCCGTGGGCTCCAGCTCCTTCCTGAAGCAAGTGACTGGGGACAGCACAGCCCCGGGAGCCCTGACGCCCTCCTTGCAGTCTCCCAGGACGCTGCACTGCAGCCACCAGCAACCCACACTCCCGCCTTGTCACCACGGTGCTGCTGTCCCTCCCCTCGCCCGCAGTGTCCGGCCAGGGTCAGGCACAGGGCCCGCCGGCCAGGGTTTGCGGGATCGCGGACCAGCCAGGGCCGGATGCCAACACCCCGTTTTCTACGGCGCCGCAGCGCCCCCTGCCGGGCGCCTCGCGCAGCGCAGACACTCACCTGTGCAGGTGCGTTCACCACCGAGAGGTTGTAGCCGTAGAGGAAGGAGGAGCCGAAGGCGCCCACGAAAGCGGCCACGATGAGCGAGCAGGACCAGTCCTGGAAGGGGAGAGCAAAGCCCGTCAGATCTGGCACTGGGGAGCAGGGCCGGGCCCACTCGCACCCCTAGGCCTTCCATCCCCTGAGCTGGGGTGGGGAGGGTCCCAGAGAATCCCAGGACAGGGACACAAGCTCCTGCCCCGGGGGCCACAGGATGCCTTTGCCTCTGCGGCTCAGTTTGCCTCTGTGGCAGCCACACCACTGCCCGCCCCTCCTGCTGGGTGAGGACGGTGGAACCCGGCCTACGGTCCTTAGCAGGTGCTCGGTGGGCAGCGACCAGTGTTAGCTGAATCTGGCTGGTGGCAGAGCCACAGGGGAGCCAGGGAAAAGCAGATTAAGTTGACAGACGTCCCTGGGCCTGTTTTGAGCACTTCCTGGCATTTCGCGACCCCTCACAGCCGCACTGTTTACCCTGACCTTACAGGCAAGCAGGCAGAGGCCAGAGCCCTCCCTGGTGCTCGCCAGGTGGGGCTGTGCGGGGAGGTCTGCTCTAGTGCCCGTGTGGTCACCTACAGCCCACAAGGCCCCGGCTCCTCTTCACCTGGAAGTGTTGTGAGCATTGGGGGGAGGGATGCTGAGCTGCCGACGGACACACACACCCACACACACACACACACACACACACACACTGTTCCAGCTGAGACATCAACCTACTCGGGCAAGGCTGGGCCACAGAGGAATGAGGGGTTCAGCTGCTGCCAAGCCACCCTGCCCCGTGGCCCCATCTGAGGATGCCACAGCTGTGGCCGGACTAGGGCAGAAACCTCTGGACTGCTTAGCAGAGGCTGACCAGCTGCAGCTGGAGGGGCTGCATGGGAGGGTCCCGGGAGTGTGACCCCTCTCTAGATGGAGGGGACCCCGAGGCACTTCTGATGTCATTGGTGTGCGTGTGTGTGCGCATGTGTGTGTGTGCATTTTCTACGTGCCAGACCCTGACTTCTGCAGGGGCACATGGTCAATGAGACAGACCAGGCCTGCGGCACAGAGAACTGACCTGAATAAATACAAGGGGGAGCAGAACCCCAGTGGCCAATTTCCTGCTCCACCCACCCCACTGGCTGCCTCCAGCATGGACTCCAGGGCCTGACGGCATCCCCGCTGTGAGGTGAGAACCCCCCAGCCACATTCTTCATCTTTTGGGGTCTCAACTTGCCCAGCTGTAAGATGGGAACACGTGTCAGCACCACTGCGTGGGCTTGGAGGAGCCGAGGTGCTGCTGGGGGCTGACGTGTCCCCCACACGTGGCGGGGTGCCAGCGGACTCCTGCTCACGATGGCTTCCACCCACGCTGCCTCTGCCTGGCCATACAGAATGGCCACTTGCCAGGGTCTCCCTTGACAGGGCTTATGCAGCTCTGTCCCCCGAATCTTCCTTTTTAGAGAATTTGTGCCTGAGCCCCGTGGCCACTGTCTCCTCCGAAGCCTCCCAGAACCCCACCCCCACATGTGACTGTGGCCAGTGACCTGGCTGCTCCGAGACTCAGGGTCCTCATCTGTGAAGTGGAATGTGAATGCACCACCTCACAGGACTTCACGCAGAAGAGGGGCGCTGAAGCAGGCGAGGGCCTCCGCCATGCCCTTCGCAGGGGTGGGCTGGAATATTCTGTAGCAAGAGGAGCTTGAACTGAATGGGACTCATGAGCAGAACACCGCAGGCCCCTCTCCATCATGCTTTGCCTTGGAACTGCTTCTATGGGCCTCAGCTGGGATGTCACCCCACAAAGCCCCTCTTCCCTGGCTGTGCCTGGCACGCTCTCTGGGCCTCTGGGCCACCCTCACTCCCAGGTCAGACCCTTCTCCCTGTTTGTGCCTGTCAGAGGGTGGAGAAGAGCGGGTGGCGCCCTCTCCTGGGGAGTCCCCTACCGTGCATGGCCGCCCGCAGAGGGGCTGGCGGGGGTGGGGAGCCGAGGGAGGCACCCCGCCCTGCTAGGAGCACGCACGCTGAGCCACCAGGCACAGACACCCCAGAGCCCAGGAAACACTGACTCAGAGTCAGCACCACAGCCAAGGCCAGAACGCCAGCCTGCCAGGACGCCAGGCTCGGGGCAGCCGTCCTGATCAGGGCCTCTGGCTAGGTGAGGCTGGGGTGCCTCTTCCCACCTGGACGGGAGCCCTTCGGGGTCCAGAGACCGGTTTACCTTCCTCCTGCTCCCGGGGGCCGGCCCGCTCCTGGGCGGGGAGCTCTCCGGAGGCCCCGGGCAGCGCGGGCCTGGTGTGAGGGGAGCCAAGCTCAGCTCTGGGGAGCTCATGTCGCGTGCCGGCTGCGGGCTCTGGGCCGCGGCGACCCTGGACCCAGGCTCTGCCAGGGCATGGCTCTGAGGAGGAGGCAGAGTCCATGCGGGAGGGCGGGGGCGCCCAGCAGGAAATGTGGCAATTTCGGCCTGTCTGAACAGAACAGGAAACGGTTTTTTTCCCCTCGTTTTCAAGTCAGAACAGCAGCTGATAAGTCCTGAGAAGAAACCACCAGCAGAGTGTGGAGTGTTCCTTTGCACCTTCTTCCTTTCCCTCCTAACAGGGCCAGCCCCTGGGGGAGGGGCGTGATGGCCATCAGACCCCAGGGCAAGTCTCCCCAGCACTAGGACAGAGGGCAGAGGTCAGTGCCCAGGCCCCACTGTGCTTTCACTGCGTGCCCCGAGGCAAGTAGCCTGATCTCTCAGAGCTAACCCTTTACAAGTGCAACTTGCTGGCTGGGTGGGGGGCCTTAAGGAGGCCGGGTGCCTTGAGTACATCAGGTTGTCATCAGAGTTATTCACCACGTGGCCTCGGCCACCTTCCTCCTTTGCCTCCAGAGACAGAGAGGGGCTCAGAGACCAGGCTGGGCAGAGGAGCGTTTGCATAAGGCCAGACCCCTAGAAGAGCTGGAATAAAAGACATGGAGCCCCTCAGGGTTGCTGGGCGGGAAGTGTCAAGCGCACGTGGAAATGTCGGCCCTGCGATGGCTGTTCTGGAGATGCAGCTCCCGGGAGAAGCCGCCCTGGTGAGGAGGCTGTTGGCTGGGCCCAGGACCCACCCCCCGATGGTCATTCTGCACGTCAGTCCTTCAGGGGTGGCTCTCTGAGGACTGGCTATTTCTGGAATTGGTTCTCAGCCTGCTGGCCGGCTCCCCCTTACTGAGCTGTGATCCAGGGCAGGACTGGAAAGTGGAAGCTCTGGTTATTTTGCAAAGGCTGGGGATTCCCCAGAAAGAGCAGAAAGCACAGAGGGGAGGAGGCCACCTAACTGGGCTGGATCCTGGAAGGCTTCCTGCAGGAGGTGATTCTGACTGTGGAGGAGGGGTGTGCCCTAGGGCAGACTGGCATGGGGGTGGGGAGGTGGCCCTGAGCCAGGGCCTGCACCCTGGACACCCTGTAGGTGTGGGGAGGCAAAATAGTCCAGCCTGGGTGGGGTTTAAATGTGGGAGCGGCAAGGGGCCCCCAGCTGTGTCCCTGCACTAAGGCTCCTAAGTCAGAAAGCATGCGCGGCCCTGCCGGCCAAGCCCTGCTCCTCTGCGTGCGCCTGAGCTGCGGGAAGCCCAGGAGCTCAGTGCAAAGGTCGGGCACTGAGCGGGCGGGCGCTGGCGGGTCATTGGCTTTGCAATCTGATGTAAAGGTACAGAGATGTATCTTTATCCAGAGTCCAGTGGAGACACAGTCCAGATACAGAGACAGAAAGCAGAGGAAACACAGCGGGAAACCAAGCACACCCTGGGAATCTCATGCAGGGCTGAGGCTGCGGGGTGGGGGTGTGTGTGCCGCGGAAGGAGCACAAGGAGGTGGACGAGGAGGACGGGCAGGGCGGTGGGGGGTGGGTGTCCAGGACGCTGCCTGAAGGGGCCGGGACCTGCATTCCTGCATCATACCCAGTGCTATAAATCCCTGTTACCACAATAAAAAAATATATTAAAAAGGTCAGGAAATAATGTTGCCGATAGCAAAACACATCATCCGAAGGATATTTGAGCACTTTTTGTAGTTTTAGAAACTTGTTTCCACTTGTCAGACAATTTCTAAACATCAAGGTCGGGTTTTTAGCCCGAATTTCAGGAAGGTCGGTGCCGTGCAGGTGGAGGTGCGTGGCTGTGACCCCAGTGGAGGAGAAGGGCCGCGCTTATCTGGATCAAGCAGGATTATAAAATCTGCCCATGGCAGCCTCATCGGCTGTCCGACGCCTGGTTCTAGACTTGCTGTGGAATCTGCGTCCAGATTAGAATTTTCAGTGAGAGGTCATTGGCTCAGTTGTTTGTTGTCTGAAATCGACGGGAATATAGATTCAAAGCTAAATAAGTAAAATGGGGGCCTTCCTGGTGGCGCAAGGGGTCAAGCACAGCACTATGAGGCTGTCCGCAGCCGCTGCAGCACGAGTGCGATCCCTGGCCAGAGAGCTACCCACATGGCACTGCAGACCTCTCCTGTCTCCCCGCTGCTCCCCTCAGCAGTGGATTTCAGTAAGATCTGCCTGTTCTGTTCCCCACTCTGTCTCTGGTGAATCCTCTCACCCCCACACTGCACCTCTGGCCTGCATCCCAGCTCTTGTATGCATAAATAAATAAATCTTAAAAAAACTAAAATGAAGAGAGGGTCTGAGGATCCTGGGGAGGGAGACTTTCTAAGTGTCGAGGACTTCCTGGAGGAGGAGGCAAGTGGATGGGCCTGGGGGGTTGGTTTTACAGTGTCTCCTTAAGGACAATGACATCATCATCTTCGATATCAACATCTCCTCTTGAGAAATGACCTTTGGCATATAGGACTCTCCCCCTCCGGTCCAGAAGGTGAACCAGCACCTGCACCTCCTCACATTGCACGGATGGTTCCCAGGGCCCACCCGACCGCTTCCGCGTCTGCTCACTGCCCCTGCCTGACTGCCCCCAGCCCCACCCCGCTGGGAGGAGGGCGAGGAAGGGTTGGCCGCCCTGCGTGGCCAGCGCCATTAGGAAGCGGGACTGACCGGTCTCTTCCTGGCTGCATCGTTTTCCTTCTGACCTGCCGGGTCCTTTTCGCTGAGCTTCATGGTTGGGTTGTCAGGATTGGGGCTGGGTACGTCTGCTCCTGAGAAAGAGGGAACAGGAAGAAGCCATTATACACCTGCTGCACCGCCTGGGAACCCGGGAATGGGGGCCCCGAATGGGCTCGGAAAGTCGCTGTGAGGGACGATGAGTCAAAAAAATTTTTTTGACGATGAAGCCCTTAAAATATCAAGTAATCAAGTCAACTTAAACCATGGAATTCTGGAAGGATACACAGATCCCGCAGAAGGACAGGCTTTGGAGTCCGGTGGGGGAGCTGGGGTAGCAATGCTTCAGTGGGACGTGGGCTCCTTCCTGGGCGACCCCCACACCAGTGCACGCCCATGGCATCCCAGCCCACTGCCTCTCTCCAGTGTCTGCGGCTGCCCCCTGGCCTACGATGCCCGCCCCCCTTTCTGTGTCGCACCTTCACCTTCTCTGTTCCCTCTGGAAAATTCTGAGTGATGGCCCCTAGTGGGTCCAGTCAGCCTAGCAGCAGCCAGGGTCTGTGTCTCCCCCGTGACTGTGACCTCCATGGACCGTGTGTGTGGTGCATCCACTCGGCGGGGCCATGGCGCCCAGCGGCTTGGCTGAGCATCTGGAGAGCAGGCTAGATGCCGTTGGCCTTTTTCCATGCACTGGACATTTCCAATCAGCCCGGCCAGCCTTCGTAGTCTAGGTGGGTCTCAGCCCATCTGTGGAGGCTAAAGAGCAACGGGCCACCACCGCCGCCCCCTACACTGGCAGAGGAAGAAATGCAGCCTCAAAGGACAACGTTGACATTCCAGACTCAGGCCAAGATGCAGCCCAGGGAGGGCAATGCCATCTGTGCTGGCAGGACGCCTGCCCATGGCTGTCCCCACCCCGCTGGCACCAGCCAGTTCTAGATCTGCACAGCCACATCCAGACAAATCCATGATCATATTTGTTTACGGACAGTCACGCCTCCAGGCATATATTTCTATCCATCCAGCTGTGGTCTGCTAGCCGTACCCACATCACAGTAATGCCCCTGCGTCCAGACCCAACCTGCATGTCTATGTCATGTCCACACATACACATCTATGTGTCTGCACCCATGTCCCCCTGGGTCTGCACACATGCAGTGTGCACACAAGCATCCTGTCCTCGCGCTGGGGGCACAGCCGACCCCACAGAGTCTGACCCGAGGTTGCTCGATAAACCAAATGGGGACGAGAGAAGGGAAGGGGGTCAGGTGGACGAGCTGGAAGGGCAGGACAGGCGGCAGGGTGGTGGTCACGCACTCCAGGGAGCTCCCCTCGCAGGCGACCTGCATGTCCCCGTGAGTCTGGCCACCCGGTACCCGGAGGTGAAGACGGCCACTGCCAGAGGCTTGGAAAGGACGTGAGCAGAGTGGAAGGGCCGGGCTAGTGAGTCAGAAAGCGGGGTCTCATCCTGGTCTCACCCTGGGACCCGGGACAAGGGTCTGCACCTCGCGGCGTGTTTCCTTGTCAGTGGAAGACCGTGGTGGTGGTCCGACGCGGGACGGCGCGTGTACGCAGTCTTGGGGATGCTTGGCCATCGCTGGTGTCTCGTCATGCAGGGCTTGAGATGACTCGGGACGCGGCAGCCTTGGAGCGGGGGCAACGAGAACTCTGTCCCGGGAGTGGAGATGTTCGTGTGCTGGCCACGTGCCGCTCAGCCTGCTGCCCGCTGGTGCCCGCGGTGCAGCGCGCCTGTTCTCATGAGGCCAGAAGGCCGCCGTGCCTCGGCGGACAGCCTGCACTGAGTGCCTCCTGCCGCCCTCCAGCAGCTATGGCCACTTGGTGCCGAGCTTGGTGCCCAGCTATGGAGAGAGCATGTCCAGCACGGCGGAGTCCAGGACCCTGCACCTGGCGATCTGACAGGCCCCCGCCTACACTGCATGTGGGGCCACATCAGTAGACAATCACCTCTCTCATGCTATAGCTGCTGCTCCTGGTAATGAAGGCTTCACGGGCGCATGTTGGAGCCTGTGCCTGAATGCCAGCGACGAAACAAGCAGACCTCGCCTCAGAGAAGAATCTTGACCCACCCAGCCCATCTCAGAGAGGGCGCCTGAGCCCAGGCAGCGCTGACCCTCCCTGAGCGGGGTGAAGAATGGAAGGACCAAGGTGTGACCAAGGAAGGACCAAGGACCTGGTGTGAGCATCTCCCAAGCCTGGCAGGCGCCCCTGCCACCTCTTTGCAGTGCCCGGAGCGGCCGCCCATGTGCCTGTGTCCACCTGTGAGCAAGCGCGGGGTCCAGCCAGCCCTGGCTGCCACCCTGGGTGGACTGAGGTCGCTGCTCAGGACGTTCCTCATTGTCAGGGTGGAAACTTTGGTTGCTGGAGCGAAAGGCAGCGGTGAAACCAGACACTGGAAGGAAGTGTAGAAAATAGAGCAACTTCGAAAGAAAGACAGAGGGCGAGGGAGGGGGGAAGAGAAAATGGACAGGAGGAGGGGGGCGGGAGGGGGCAGGAGGGGGCAGGAGGAGGGAGCCAGGCTTTGGGACAGCTCGAGCCATCATCACTCATAATCAATATCGTTTTCATATTAGCCTGTGGGACATCATGTGAGTCCTTGATGCACATTTTTTTTTAAAGATTTACTTGTTTATGCATCCAAGAGCTGGGGTGCAGGCCAGAGGTGTGGGGGTGAGAGGATTCACCAGAGACAGAGTGGGGAGCAGAACATGTGGACTGACTGAGATACACTGCTGAGGGGAGCAGCGGGGAGACAGGAGAGGGCTGCTGCACCATGTGGGTAGCTCCCTGGCCGGGCATCGAACTGGTGCTGCAGGGGCTGTGGATTGCCTCATAGGTTGAGTCTTAACCCCTTGCACCACCAGGGAGGCCCCTGATGCGCATTTTCTCAATGGCCACCCAGTTGATTTTCAAATCCCTCAGTTCTCAGTTCCCTTGGACTCTGCTCTGTAAGCACCTCCGTCACTTCCGAAATTCTCCCCCAAGGCGGTCCCACTCTGTGAGTGCCACCTACCTGCTCTGGGACCTTCTGGGTCTGTTGGGGTCTGGAGAGCAAACAGAACACGCGGTGCAGCAGGACGGCTCCCCCTCTCACCTACGCAGCCTGGGGTTGGGACAGTAACCGGCGTTAATGATTACCGGCCACCCAGTGTGACTGACACGGTGCCTATCTTGACAAGCCAGAAATGATTAACACCGACTGCTGTGGCTGGCTCGGCCTCCTAAAACATGCCCAGGTGAGCCAATCCGTGCCGGACCCCCAGCCGAGGCACCGGTGTCCTGGGAAGCCCCTGCGAACTAACGGGTCACCTCCTGGTGCCAGAGCCTCTGCACGAAGTGACCACATGACCAAGGCAGTTCAGGACCCACCTGCCTGGCCAGGGGGTGGTCAAAGCAGGACATGTAAGATAAGGTGGATCAAGCCCTGAGCCCCAAACGGCAGGACGCGGCGGTCACTCCTGCTTCCCTGTGGATGGAGGCGCGAGGTCAGCCCTGGAGAAGCTCGCACAGGCCGTCTGCTGCGACGTGTCCTCCTGACCTCTCGCTTGAGCGCCAAAGTGATGCCCACGTGCCAACACCTCTCTCCCTTCAAGGCCCCGGGACCAGACCAGCAAGGGCTGGAGCGGCAGAGACGTGAGGGGTCGGGGAGGGATCCGAGAGCACTGCTGGGCCTCTCGGGCAAGGTTCCGGCTCGGCAGCAAAGCCTCCCCCGACCAGTGCACGGAGAGCCACGAGGGCGGTTCTGGGGTGAAACACAGAAAGACGGGTACCCAGGAGCCCCACTGCGTGGGACAGGGGCCCTGGGCCCGGCTCAGGCACCACTCAGAGCCGGGGAGACGGGGCTGTCCTGGAAGCCCAGATTCAGAGCAGCCGTGGCTGATGCCTTTCCCTGGTGCTTGAGTGCCGGCAAAGGGGTGGCCTGGAGAGCAGGAAGGAGTCACCTGACCCGGGGAGACACCCCCTACCCCGCCCCCCGCTGCTCCCAGGTGTCTGTATCAACCAGCGGGAGACACTAGGAAGGTATTTTGGTGCCCAGGTGGCTTCCCTGGGCTTGAGCAAGTGCACCCACACCGAGACAGAGCCACCTCTGTGTGGTGGGTGGGCGCACCCCATCACCCGTGGCCACCCAGCCGGTGCTCACCCGCTTCTTTTCCCGGCCGCCTAAGCTCTCTCATGCCCCTTTGGCTGCCTGACATCATTGCCCGACGCCAGGATCGCTCCACCCCTGGCTGGGCGGCGTCAAGATGGTGTACTGCAGTGACCGCGGCTCTCCCAGGCCTGCGCACGGACGAGCCCCTCTGCAAGGCGAGGGCGAGAGAGCGTCTCGAGGGCGTGGGTGCAGATCCAGGAGCCGCTGTCGCTGTCGTGGGACCCGCCTGCTGTGTGGCAAGACTCAGAGGAATTTGCGGGTGCTATTGCTGTTGGAGCGTCTCTCTATTGTTCATTATTTTTGTTCCTGTTTGTTTAGTCTCTTTCAAATGTTTATGGACCACCTGCCGTGCCAGCCTCAGGCAGCCGCAGAGGAGACTGCAGAGGGGGGTGAATCTGAATGTCTATCAGGTAATCCATGAACAATCACGAGCTCGATCCACATGGTGGAATACTACTCAGCCACGAAAAGGAATGAAGGTCTGACTTAGGGGACAGGGTGGAAGAACCTCAAAATCATGCTACATGAGAAAAGCTACACAGAGAAGGTCACATGTTCTCTGTCTCAATTTGAATGAAACATCCATAATCAGCAAGTCTGTACAGGTAAATCTGCTTTCCAGCCAACACATTGCCCTGCTTTTTCCTCAGCCTCGCTGGTCATTTCTTCGTCTCCTCAGCTGCTCCTCTTATCCACCAGACCCCCGTGGTGGAGCAGCCCAGGGCTCAGCCCGGGGCTCTCTCCATCCAGGCTCCGCCATAGCCTTAAACCCAAGGTAGGCCGCTGCCCCCAAGTCTGTCTCTGCGTGCACAGATGGCCCTCCCGGCCGAGGTCCAGCCCGCTCAGCGCCCTCGGCCGCCTAGGAAGCTTCTCAAACATAGCGTTCCCAGACTGGACTTCTGATACCCCTGACTGAACCCCTCTTTCCAGAGATCCCCCAAACCTAGACACCCCCAGGTTCTCCTGCGCACGGGAGTCCTTCCTCTGCACTGCCCCCCGGTGTCCCATCCGTCCGCATCAAGCTCCGGCTAGCTCTGCTCTCCTGAGAGCACCCCTCCCCCGCCTGCTCGCCATCCCGCCCTGCCCCTGCGTGACTCCCCAGGCAAAGCCAGGCCAGGGGAAGCAGCCTCCTCACACCCCGCTTTCCTAGAATCTAATCCCTCAGCCCCGACTCAGACCCTCCTCCCTGCTCGTCCACGTGAGGAGCAAGGCTCTGCCACTCGGCCGGGTTCAAAATGGGCTCTGCTGCCAAGAGCCGTGTGACTGGCAGGCCAGGCAGGTGACAGGCCCACACCTGCCTCTCCAGCTCCTCCACCCCCCCCCCTCCACCTCAGCCTCCACACGCCCCTGCCCTGCCGCCCGCTCCCAGCACTCACCCTTCCTGCTCCCGGGGCCTTTGAACTTGTGCTCCCATCCTGGAAACGCACCCCAAAGCCAGGAGACAGTGGCCCGAGGCCGTGCGCCCAGAGGGCTCCTCAGGGACGGGACACTGTCCCTCACCTCTCAGGCGAGAGCCCTGCTCCCCCTCTCTCCCCACGCGCCTTCCCTTCTCTTGCTCCTCCTCCTCCACCCCTTCTTCTTTCCCGGCTCCTCCCTCCCTGGCCCCAGTCCCTGACCCCAGCTCCCTCGAGCCTCCCTCCTTCACCACTCTTAGCGCCTCCTCCCCCCTTCTCCCTCCCCCTCCTGCTGCCCCTCTCCTTTCCTCTTGTCCCCTCATAAATGCAGCCCCATAACTAACCGCCCCTCCTTCCACCCGGAGCCCCGGTGCACTTGGAAACAGCCCCACTCGCCACCCACGCGGCACCCGCTGCTGAGCTCCCAGCGAGCACACAGCCACAGCCAGGGAGCGGGGTCTGGCCTCTGCTGGCCACCCTCATGCCCCCCTGGCTCCAGTCCCCGCCTTCTCTGGCCTGTTTGTGCCCCGGAGGGCCTGAGAGATGGGCATCACGGCCAGCTCCCTTGCTAATGCCGTGGGCCTCCGGGAGGCGCCAGCAGCAGGTGGGGGAGATAAGAAAAAGGCCGGGGTGCTTTGTCCTGGGACCTCCTGGCTTGAATTCAGCAGCTGGCAACAACCTCCTGCTCCCCACCCACGGCTCCCCCATGGCTGCAGCCCCAGCGGGATCCCCAAACTCTCCTTTCTTGCCTTGCCTCCCGCAGGAGGGGTGATGTCCCTCACTGTCCCCAGGAGCCCGGCTGGCTGGCCTTTGCCTCCGAAGTCCTCCCTCCAAGCAGACCTTCTGGGGTGTATTCCGTTTCCTCCTGAAACCCCAGCCTGGCACATTCACGGCTGGGCCCAGCACCTAGAGCAGAGCCCTGGTGGAGTGGGTGCTCAGTAAATATGCTTAATTAATTAATGCCCTAGTCAATTAATTAGCAGAAGAAAGAATGGAAGGAAATCAATCTGCTACTTAAAGCAATGACTAGATCAATGAATGGAGCAAACCATTTTGTTCCTTTGAAAGAAAGAGTGAATAAGCTAACGAGATCGTCCATGGAAGTGGCAGGGGAAAAACAGTGGCCGATGGCGCGAGAGACGGATGGTGCGCCCCGCAGAGCCCCAGCCGCCTCCGCGGCCTGCCCCGCGGGTGAAGGGCACAGGCCTCCTGCCCTCGCTGGATGAAGCTCCTGAGATGCGCTGGCCCTTGGAGCCCGGCTGACCACCCCCTTCTAGCCCGACTGCCCACCCCCTTCCAGCCCGGCTGCTCACACCCTGGCTGTGCTGTGCCAGGACCCTCCAGGCAGCCCTTCTGGAAGGAACAGCCCAGGGCCACCTCTGCCCCAAGAGAGCCCCAGCTGAGAACCAGGGTCAGGGGGCTTCCCCACTCAGGGGGCGCAGCTGCGAGCCCCAGCTCTTCAGAGGCCCACGGGCCCGCTCCCAGCCCCCAACAATGGTTCCTGAGCCTCTGGGGTGGGCCCACGGGGGCGGGGAGGCAGCCATGTGCGAGGGGTGGGGGGACCGACACACACCTCCACTGTCCAAGGTGGGCAGTGGCTTTTCTGGAGCTGCCAAAGCGGGACCAGGGAACCCACAGGGCTGAAAAAAACACAAAACACAAATCCAGGCCCTCCAGGCCAGGAAGCCAGGGGAGCCGAGCTGCCGTTTTCTGTTTCCTTCCCATTTCCCGAGCAGCGGCTGCTGGGGCGGTTGGAGCAGGCCGAGGGCCTTCCTCCTGGGGTGGGGTGAAGAGGGCAAATTCTCTGGCGAAGTGGGGAAGCCAGAGCAGAGAGCAACGAGACAGTGGAGGAGGGGCAGGATCATGCCGCCTGCTCTCCCGGCTGAGCATGACATGGACACAGACACGGACACAGGGGTGCAGGGCGCCTGCTCAGTGAGGCCCAGCGGACACCTGCTCCCTGTGCCTTGCCGAGCAAGCTCTCTGCTGGGATGGTCATTCGGAGAAGCGAGGCTCGGGAGGCTGGGATCTGCCCAGTTCCTTGGGCTGAATCCTGCTGGCAAAGATTTGCTTCGAGTGCCGGGCAGTCGAGGGATGGAGAGAGCAAGAGGCCGATACTGGCGGTGCAAGGGGTTAAGCGTCAGCCCTTTGAAGCTGTCCGCAGCCACTGCAGCACAAGTTCAATCCCCGGCCAGGGAGCTGCCCACACGGTGTAGCAGACCTCTCCTGTCTCCCCGCTGCTCCCCTCAGCAGTGTATCTCAGCAGACCCAGCGTTCTGCTCCCTGCTGTGTCTCTGGTGAATCCTTGCACCACCCGCCCCGCACCTCTGGCCTGCACCCCAGCTCTTGTATGCATAAATAGGTAAAATAAATCTTTAAAAAAAAAGCTGCTGATACTGATTTGTCCAGGTTCAAACCCAGCTGAGACCTGGAGCCAGCAGCTTGCCCTCTGGGCCTCTGTGTGTTGGTTTCCTGTGAAACGGGAAGAATCCCAGCACCCACCCTCAGGATCAAGTGCCTCGGAACTGGTCTGCTCTACGTGGTGCTCTTAAAGAGCTTGAGTGGGGGGCTGCTGGGGACTTGGTGGGAGTGGGGTGTGTGCAAGGTCCTGATGTCGCCTCCCAGAGCAGGACTGAGCCTGTCACCGGGCACACGCCTAGGCAGTGAGCCGGACACAGGCGCCGTTCTGCCCTGCGTTTGGGTTTGCCATCGGGAAGGCGGGGTGGGGCACAGACACTGATGTGTGCCCCCCAGGAAGGCGTCCATGGGGTTTGGGGGCTACACCAGCATGGCAGAAAATGCTTTCATTTTAGTAAGTGTCCCAGGGGGCTCTAATTGTCAGCAAAATTGGCGAAGCCTGATCCATTCAGTTCCCTTTTTCGCAGACAGGAAACCAGAGGGCCAGGCTCCTGCCCCGGGCCGTGTGGCCTACCTGTAACCCAGGCAGCACCCTCCCCTGCCTCCAGCAGCTGCCCAGAACTGGAGTCTCTTCTCCTGCAGTCCTGGAGGCTCAAGTCCACTGCCAAGCTGCCGCCAGGTTTGCCCTAAGGGGTGACTCTGCCAACCCTTCAGCCTTAGGCTGCGTCCCTCCCACCAATGCCTCTCCCCAGCCACCTCTTCTTGCGAAGACATCAGCCAAATTAGATAAGGGGCCCCCTACTCCAGCTCGGCTTTATCTCAGCTAATTAATCTGCAGCAACTGTTTCCTAATAAGGTCACGATCTGAGAACGGGCGGGGGCGGGGGGGATTTCAGTGCATCTTTTCGTGAGATACAATTCAGCTCCGAAGACCAGGCCAGGCTTGTCTATTCCTTCCGCAAACGTATCTAACAGTGATGCCCACCCGACGCTGGGGGCGCCAGCGCTGACCTGGGGAGAGTGGAGCAGTATTAACCTAGCAAGACACCCCGAATGGACGTCGGCTTAGAAGCCAGGATGGAGCGAGTGTGGGTCCCAGACGTTTGCATGGAGAGAGGGGCAGTGCGGGCCTGCTGAGAGGGGGTCCTGGCTCCCCACGGGCACTGCCGCTCACACGCGGGGTTCTCGAATGCTCGGGAATGTGGCTGGGGAAGGAGGGCCCCAGAAAGGAGACTTTCAAGCACAGAGAATGAGCAAGGAGGGCGGGTCCCCTGGACCTCCCCCCGGGAGCTGTTACTCCATCAAGCAGGTTCCAAAGAGTGCCTAGAAAACGGAGGAATCCTGCGGATTATGCAGTAGCTGGAATACATAACACCTTTTATGGGGTTTGCACAAAACGCCTTTGCTTTAGGAGCAGATAATCCTCAGAACATGCTGTACCGAAGGGCAGGAGGTCAGTGGAGGCCACACTGCAAGTTGTTGGTGAGTCACAGCTCAAGCCTGTTGCTGGCCCGCAGCCAGGCCTCACCCGCGCCTTCTCCCCTGATAACGAGAACTGACCTCATACCCTGCCCATCTCGGTGTTCAAAATCGTCACCTTCAACCTGTCCCCCGACCTGGCTGTAAATGGATGAGCACATAAGTCAGTGAAGAGCTGTATTCAATGCAAACACAATTTTTTTCGGTTACCGTTTAATTTCCTTTATCTTCTTTGCTTTCAGCAGCCTTAGCAAGGGTCACCTGAGGCTGGAAGCCAGAAGAAAGTCAAGAGCCTCCCTCTCCCGGCCCAGTGGAGTTCTACTGATGGGACCTTGCTTGGGTGCCAGAGGAGGACAGAGCCTCAGAGGCGCCCCCCACACCACCAGCCCCATGACAGCTGCCCCTCCTCTACACACGGCTTCCTGCCAGCTGAGAGAGACCACCCGTCCTGGGGATCTCCCCCGGGGAGGATGCCAGACTGAGTGGACCCTGGGCAAGACGTGGAAGGGAATGCCTGGGATGCTCAGTGGCTCACTGCCCAGTTTAGGGTTCGGCACAGAAGCCAAGATGCAGGGGCTATGGGTTAAGTTTGTCCTCCAGCATGCAGTCAGGTGTGATTTTTAGGAGTGTCCAGAAGAAAGGGAGGGTCTGGGCTGAGTGCCCAGGGGTGGGTGTGAGGGCCGAGCCGGCCGGGCGCGGTGGGGCCTGGGGTCCGAGCCGCAGCTGGCCTCTCCCATCAGTGGACAGGTGGCGGGTGCTCAGTCTGCGCCCCGTGGAGGAGGCTGGTTCTCGACAATGGCCTCTGGGCAGCAGCCCCTGGAGCTGGGTTGTTAGACTTTGGGGACGAGGGGAAGCAGGAAACCCAAGTTTTGCGTAGGGCGTTGAGGAAGGCTGGGAGGCGGCATCCTATATTTCTCGCAAGGTGATGCCAAGATTGTGGGGGACAAAGCTGGTCTGCACTTGCGGCGAGGTGGGGAGGGAGGCGGCTGGGGACACAGGGACCTGGTAGCTTCAGGCACTGTCTAGCTGCTCCTCTTCCCAGACGTGCTGGCGGCTGGAGATGCCTTTGCTCCCTCCACTCTCCCCGAAGTGTCTTGCAGGAGATCTTGGAGTCTGGACATGCAAGCTCGCTGGCCACACCCAGGAGGGGTCCCGTTCTTTGCGTGCCAGTGAGCCGGTGGCCACGCTGAGTCACAGCGCTGCTCTCTGCAGAGGGGAGTCATCTCCTGCAGGCCCAGCTCTCCAGGGCAGGCAGAGGCTGTAGAGGCGGGGACCAGGGCGGCCCCTCAGCCTCAGCTCCTGC